GTTATGTTATGTTATGTTATGTTATGTTATGTTATGTTATGTTATTTTATGTTATGTTATGTTATGTTATGTTATGTTATGTTATGTTATGTTATGTTATGTTATGTTATGTTATGTTATGTTATGTTATGTTATGTTATGTTATATTATGTTATGTTATGTTATGTTATGTTATGTTATGTTATGTTATGTTATGTTATGTTATGTTATGTTATGTTATGTTATGTTATGTTATGTTATGTTATGTTATGTTATGTTATGTTATGTTATGTATGTATGTATGTATGTAATGTATGTAATGTATGTAATGTAGGTAATGTAGGTAATGTAGGTAATGTAGGTAATGTAGGTAATGTAGGCAATGTAGGCAATGTAGGTAATGTAGGTAATGTAGGTAATGTAGGTAATGTAGGTAATGTAGGTAATGTAGTAATGTAATGTATGTAATGTAATGTAATGTAATGTAATGTAATGTAATGTAATGTAATGTAATGTAATGTAATGTAATGTAATGTAATGTAATGTAATGTAATGTGTAATGTAATGTAATGTAATGTAATGTAATGTAATGTAATGTAATGTAATGTAATGTAATGTAATGTAATGTAATGTAATGTAATGTAATGTAATGTAATGTAATGTAATGTATGTAATATATGTATGTATGTGTATGTATGTAATGTATGTATGTATGTATGTATGTATGTATGTATGTATGTATGTAATGTATGTTATGTATGTTATGTATGTTATGTATGTTATGTAATGTATGTATGTATGTATGTATGTATGTATGTTATGTATGTTATGTTATGTTATGTTATGTTATGTTATGTTATGTTATGTTATGTTATGTTATGTTATGTTATGTTATGTTATGTTATGTTATGTTATGTTATGTTATGTTATGTTATTATGTTATGTTATGTTATGTTATGTTATGTTATGTTATGTTATGTTATGTTATGTTATGTTATGTTATGTGTATGTGTATGTTATGTTATGTTATGTATTATGTATTATGTGTATGTTATGTAATGTATGTATGTATGTATGTTATGTGTATGTTATGTTATGTTATGTTATGTTATGTTATGTTATGTTATGTTATGTTATGTTATGTTATGTTATGTTATGTTATGTTATGTTATGTTATGTTATGTTATGTATGTATGTATGTATGTATGTATGTATGTATGTATGTATGATGTATTGCAAAAAGCCTCCCTCAGCTTTGAAGTTGCCAGTCTGCCAGTGGCGGCCCTTTGGCAGTGGCACGTGTCAGAACGGACATACCGCGGACGTGTGTGAGATGCATGTGTACTGCAAAAAGCCTCCGTCGGAACTTCCGGCGGCTCAGCTCTGAAGTTGCGAGCTGCAGGTGAAGACGTACCCAGTGCAGAGTCTCCCCAAGGACAGCTGCCGGGAGGGTTGGTGGCATCCTGAGGTGCAACTGAGTACGGTCTCTTTCTTTGGGAGGCGCTCTCTCTTTGGGGTTTCAAAGAAGGCCAAAGGCGAGGACCCTGCTGAGGAGGACCCGCCGCCCCCCGCCCCCCCCCGTGCATGTCCCATTTGCTATCCCTTGCTTCAGGGCGGGAGACTTTGGTTTGGAATGCCAGGAGAAGCTGGTGGACACCAACGGCGCTGGGGACGCCTTTGTGGGCGGCTTCCTGGCGGCCCTGTCCAAGGGTAAGGAGCGGGATGGCAAAGGGACAACCTGAAAGCAAGGGAAGACAGGACCAGCTTTTTTTTTTTTTGCACAAAGCTATGAGTGGCAGTTGTTTGTGTGAGAGCAGTGAAGGGGATGGAAAAGGGGAGATGCGGCACCAGGTGAAGAGAATTGTTATTACCACTTGTTGGATGAACCATGGACTTTGTGTACCAACGTTTATGTAGACACAATGTCAACCTTGAGCTTCTTAACATACATTCTTTTTCATGTTGAGGGCTCTGGGCAGCTGGCAAGGACATTGAGGCTTGCTGCAAGGCCGGCACCTACTCGGCCTCCATCGTCATCCAGCACTCAGGCTGGGCGTCTGTTTCATGTGGCCATGGTTCAAAACCAATGGAGTCCCACTTTGGGATAGGTGCACCCATCTTAGTCTTTTTTAGGGGGGATTGGGATGTTCACTGGGGATACGGGGTTTTGACCCATGCCCATGTGATGCAAGCAGGGCTCGCGGTCCTGAGGCTGCACCTACCCCGCCAAGCCAGACTACACCATCTGAGCACGGACTCTGGAGCCCGGCAGGGATTTTGCCTTCGGCCCTCGACGTGTGACGCGCCGCCATGTTTAGGGCATGAAGCTCGGTACGCGATCTTGCCATCCGTGCCACCCGGATTGCCGGTGTTAGATTTTCACAAGGCAGGAGATGGAAGATCCCTAGCCTCTCAAATGGGTATGGGTCAAAATTAAACCACCAGAGGACCGCAGGTTTTGGTCCATGTTTCCACCTAGGGTTCCATTTGGGGGTTACCCTATTTTTGACCCACAGCCAAAAACCTCTCACCCGACACCAAGCACGTCCTTCTCCTCGTCGCCCTGCTCAGCATTGACGGCTCAGACTGGCAGCGAGCCTCCGGGCGATCCTGCCACGACTGAATTTCGCGCTGCGCGAAGGGAGAGAAATCATCTGAGCCACTTGCTCAAAGCCCGGGTAGATGAAGGTTAGTAAGGGACAATCCCAACCATAAATAGCTGCGGCCGGCTTCTTAATTCTTTACATGGTTCTGTTTTGATCGTGGCTCACGTGACTTGAGCACCACGCGCGGGATTGCGGGATGGCCCAGCAGCCCAAGTAGTGTAGTAGGTTTTAGGGTTCCGCGCAAGGCAGCAACCGAGTGTGGCGCAAATGTTCAAGGCAGCTGTTGTCCCCAGGTGCCAAGCAGCGAAGCGCTGATGACCTGGAGTTGCTGAAGCAAATCACCAGGCCTTGCCGAAATTGTCATGTGGGTTGGATCTACTTGATTGTGAAACAAATCAGACGATCTTGGGTTGTTTTGGGAGGTCGTCCAACACAGGCCTGCTCTTTCTCCTTGAGATTGAGCCCCCACGTGACATTTGAGCATTGAGTTTAACTCGTTCGTGGTAGACAAGCACGGACAGAGCTCATCAGCAGAGTGCTCAGCTGCACGTGGCATGTGGCGCATGTTGCGCTGTGTGGAGGTGCTTAAGCCAAGTGCTCATTGACAGCCCAGAGAGTCTCGACCATTTCCTCAAGGACGCTTCGCTGCGAGCGCACAGAAGTGGCCAAGATGCCGTGAGCCAGGGATGGAGCCAATCAGAAGCCTGCCAGTACACACTGCACAGTTTCAACACTGCTTGGAGAAACCAGCTGGGTTGCACATCCGCATCAGTGAACGATGGCTTGCCCAGTTCACAAAATCGCAGCGTGGCTCGGCACAAACCCAGACAACACCATCCCTATGAATAATGCATGACGCTTAGACGGATTCTGAGACCCACTAACTTTTCTCCCACGTGCCAGTGCATATTTTAAATTTATCATGAACTTCCTGGCGCGCCCTTGGGTGTCATCGGCGTGGCAGGATTTGCCTGGAGACGAGCAGGGGAGCTGTCAGGGGGTAGTGGCCAGGCGGGCCAGCTGAGCTTGCTGAGGGCAAGACGTAAAACAGCGGATGTAATGGATGGAAAGGTTTTCTTCGAGTGTTCTGTCTAGGTGTGGACCTTGACGCGTATGATTTTCGAGTGACATTCAGAACGAATGATGGTGCCAAAGCTGAGACTTTGGCTGCTCAACACTGGTGCTCTCTGTTGTTTTCAAGGTCACTGACGGTTGGAGAAGCCAATGAGTTTTACATGAGGCACCCACGGTTTCGAAGAGGTTCCCTCTTTTACAGTTTTCGGGCCCTTGCAAAAAGTGACAGCGTAGCGAGAAGGCACAGCAACCTCAGAGTGAGCTTTATATCATACTAATCTTTGCATAAGGTTGGTACGATGATGCCCGCTATTCGGTGATTGTACTCTTTCTTGGCTTTGCTGGAAAGTGACTGGGTGGTGGTGACCGCACCAGCAAATGGCCAATTGCAACGATGCTTGCCAGAGCTCTGGAGGGCAATGCGATGGCGGCAGGATGAACGATCTCAACCAAACTTGGCCCAGTACCGGCGATATGGTCGGGGTGGTTGGCTTTCATGCGTACCTGCGATGCTGGATTAACATCACGTTGGCCATGAATGCTGTGAGAGAGTTGGGATGTAGCATCCAGGAAGCCAACTGAACATGCGGCCATAGCAACGAAGTGCCATCGTTTTTTTGTGGCCTTACCTCACTTCTCCCCACCGAGGGGCATCCGTGCAGGTTGCTGGCCTCTCTCTTTGTGCTGCGTGAGTCGGTGAGGGGCCTGATGATTTTACATCAGCGCTGTGTGCACACCATTGTGTTGGAGACGACTCGATTTCGAGGGTAAAACTCAAGATGACCCGGACCCTTGTCGGTTCCAAGGTATTCAAATCATGCGTGCCTTCAAGTGGGTATGACCACCAGGGGACCGCAGGTTTTAGTCCATGATTCCATTTACCAGGGTTCCAGTTCACTATTCTTGACCCACAGCCTTCGCGTGTTTCGGTTCCCTTTGGCGACCTATTTGTGACCCACGGACCCACATGTGTTTCTCATGAGGTCGTTGGTGCCACCGTCGTGATGTTTTGTTTAACCTCAGATCCTTGGATCCCCGACATCGGGCTGGCCAGCTGAGGGACAATCAAAACCGATTCGATTCGGGTAGAAGGTTAGTAAGGGGCAGTCCCAGCCAGAAATAGTTGCGGATATCCGCCTTAATTCTTGAACCATGGTTCTGGGATTACGGCCATTTTGATACCGGGCTTTGAGCAAGTGACGCAAGTGGTTGAAGATACGCCATGGGACACCTGCGAACACCTCGAAACCAGCCGCTCAGCCCTGGTGACTCAGCAAGTGACTCAGCCGCTCCGAGGCCCTGGCGCCCTTGCGCGCCCTGGCCAAGTGCTGCACGGACCCCTCCGCGGCCCGGGCGCTGCTGCGGCTGGAGGCGCGAGTGGAAGGAAGCAGCTTTGGGTTGAGAGGCTTCCCACAGAAAACCGTTCTTGGCCTTGATGGTTTCAAACGCGTCATTTTTTTGCTTGCCATGTTGAAGTTTTATTTTTTTTTGGGGGGGGAAGGTCAAAGGGGATGTAGGAAGTGTTTCCGGGATCTGCCCAAAAGCTGAAAAAAACCAGCCCGGTCCCAATCCGGAACCTGTTGTGTCGATTTCGCCTTATTCCTTTGTTCCAGCCCTCCAAGGAGGAATACTTTAGGTACAAGACAAGCCCATTGGGGTTTGTGTCTGCAGGGTGTTGGCAGAAGTTGCGTGCAAAGTTGTTTGGGTTTGAGGGAGGTGCACTTCCGCAAAAGCTTGTGAGATTCAGAAAGCGACTATCGAGCGGGGCTGGACAAGGCTGTCCCAAACACAATGGGATGCCTGGCCCCAGCAGCAGACTTTTTGGTGTGGCGGAGAGCAGACGGACGGTTTGCAGGGCGTGCCCAACCGCAGCAGTGCCGAGCTGGTGGCGTTGCTGGCAGGCCATGTCACGCGCGACGCATGCAGCGTTTGAGTGGGCCGAGGTCCAGGTGACCATCTCGTTTGGTATGCTTTACACATGGCCATGGGGCATAACCTATGGCTCCATTTTGGGGTGGATGAACATCCATTTGCCACCTATTTTGATGTTCACCAGGGGTACAGGGTTTTGACCCACAGCCACATGTGGTGCCGTTGTGCACTTGACATATGGCTGTGGGTCAAAATCACACCACCATGGGACCAAAGGTTTCCATGAATCCATTCACCAGGGTTTCCCATTGTGGGTACCTATTTTTGACCCGCTGCCATATTTGCTGCCGTTGTGCACATCGGGGAGGATAGCCATCTGCTTGAGGGGGCCGGCCCATAATTTGTCAGAAGTGCTTGACTGGCTATGCGGAAGGCTCTGAGCAACAGGCAATTTGACTGTCATCAACGGCGGCAAAGGGATCACAAGAGAAGCACTCAGCGCGAAATGCCTTGACGAAACGGGACTCACCAAAGTTCAATGTGGCTATGGGTCAAAATCCCAGTTACCCCCCACTAAACATCCCAATCCCCCACTCAAATAGACTCAAATAGGTGGTGCACCTGCCCCAAAATGGTACCGTTGGTTTTGACCCACAGCCATGTCATTAGGTCATTAAAGGACATAATGAACAAGGGCTGTGCCGAAGATGCAAACATCGACTCTTGATCCTTTGCAAGCCTTTGCTCGAGAAGGAGGATCAGCTTGGTTCCGACCATGTGTTGTCTTCGCCATATGAGGCAACGGGGGAGGCCATGTTCCCCATATTTTTGCATTTCTTCGAGAACTTGTAACTAGGCTTTGACACTGGACGAAAGCACTTGGTCAGCACGCAACCCGTCAGGCATTGCCGATGCCGAGCGCCAGGCTTGCCTCTGACTTCAATAGTGCTGCGAACAAGGGAAGGGCAAGACATTGTTCCAGACCCCGATCCAAACACATTCCAACCTTATTTCAAAATTCTAACCCTCAAAAACTGGTGGCCTTTTGCTGCTTTTTGGCATTCCCAGGTCCTTCCAAAACTGTGAGCCTTTGCTGCTTTTCGCGCGCTTCCCGCCCGGAAGTCGGAAGTCGGGCGTGCTGGATGCTTGAACGCTTGGATACCACTGGTGGAAGTTTGGAGCTGGAAAGTTTTGCGTGCTCCGCTCTTGGAGGCGAGGGGTCCCAGGCTCGCATCCGCGTGGTCCGCTGCAGCTCGAAAATCGACAAAAGAAGCCCGCAGCAAAGGCGCATGCGCCGAGATGCTGCTGCCGAGCTACCTGTCGGTAGAGAGTTGCGCAGAGAGCTTGCTAAAGCTTGCACAGACACGCTTCCGAGGAGAAACTTGCGCCGAGAACTTGCGCAGGGAAACTTCCATAGACATCTTGCGCTGCAAGTTTCACACAGAGACCCTTCGCCGAGAGAACTTGCGCAGCGCCGACCCACTTGCGTAGACGCAAAGAAGATTCGCCCACACGCGCGCGCATCCCGCCCAGAGTTGCGTAGAGAGCCTGGCATCACGCCGCGTGTCTGTGAGCCGTGCGGTTAGTCGTGCCTCAGGTTTATACTTTTGGGCCGCCCTCCGTCTAGCTAGAAGTCAATAACTCTTCCTCGAATGCTTTGTTGAAGGCTGGCTTGGTGATGTGGGCAACTCATGTTTAAAGGGCCTCCAACATATTTGCAGGGGACCCAATTCACCGGACGGATTTGCATGCGCAAAGTAGTCTGTTGGTTTGGTGTTGCGCTTTTGCCAGTGTATTACAAGTGTATTACTGTATTACAGGTCCTTTTGGTCCCTTTTCGGTCTTACTTTTTGTTTTGCTTTCGTAACTTTTAGACTTCGTCGGGGAAATCCAGTTTCGACAGCCGCAACCTTTCTCAATGCATATTTGAATCTCAGGTGCTCGGCTTTCCCCTTGGACAGTTCAGGGGGAACACTTTCTTGACATTGGTAATGTTAACCCCGGATTAATAAACCTCTGGCTAATTAACAGGGGGTGTCCCCTTTTGGTGGGGATTCAGACCACTTTTGGAGGGAACACCCCCCTAATGAAGGGACGGGTTTATTAATCCTGGGCCAACATTGCCCGGCTATGACTCGGGCACCCGCACCATTATAATGTTGACCCAGGATTAATAAACCCGTCCCATTATTAGGGGGGTGTTCCCTCCAAAAGGAGGGAACACCCAAAGCGATGAATCCCCACTAAAAGGGGACACACCCCCGATCAACATCAACCAGGGGTTGTTAATCCGGGGTTAACATCATTTTCTGCTCACCGGCAGGCAGGTGCCTACCCGGCCACCTGTGCGGCACTGGAGATGATCCGGAACGTGTTCCAGGCTTCAGGGGCTGCCTGTGCCTGTGTGAAGCCTCACGGCAAGTCTGAGATGGTAGTAAATGGTACCCAAATGGCCATGGGTCAACACCTCGTACCCCCAATGAACATCCCAATCCCCACTAAAATGCACTAAAATGGGTGGTGCACCTACCCCAAAATGGTACCATTGGTTTTGACCCACAACCAAAAGACACCTTGGTTCGTGGAACCAAAGACTAAAACGTGCACAACGCTAGTTCTTGTATTTTGAGCCACACCCAAATATTGGATTGGCGGATAGCGTTTCCAGGCAGGGTGGAGTGTACCCTGGACTACTCACCTGAAGGCAATCCAGCAACTCCAGCAATCCCCGGAAGTCGCACACCAGCAATCCATGTTTTGCTAGGCTTCAATGGAGTAGCACTTCTATGTCAAATTCACAAGTCTCCTCCGAAGCTGTGACAGGCGTGTCCTGTGGAGCTTTGGTCGCTTCCCTTGGACAGGGCCTCGGAGGGCCCTAGTGAACCGTACACTTGTGGCAAGGGCTCTAGCCCCTGTCCCTTCAAAAGGTGGAATCACGTGGGCCAGAATCAAAACCCGGGTAGATAAAGGTTAGTAAGAGATACTCCCAACCATAACTAGCTGCGGCCGCCTTCTTAATTCTTTACATGGTTCTGGGATTACGACCATTTTAATACCGGATTTTGCTTGTGACTCACCTGAGCTGCCTGAGAAATTCTGAGCTTTCGCCACATCAGCCAAGGACGTGCATGACAGCCTGGGGCTTCCCAGCTTCACCAAGCCAGGCCGTCTGGTTCGCTTCGTGCCGCTACAAGTCCCAGCTGGACTCGTAAACGACTGTTGCTGGGCACCTTGAAAACCTTTCTTTAATGCGAGAAAGAGGTTCAGAAAGAGATTCGGTCAGTGGTTTTTGCGAAGATCCGAGCACGGCACGCATCTTTGTTTAGGGTTCGGATGGCAGGCGCTCCAACTTCCGGGGGGCCTTCTGGAGAGGTGCTGGGGCCGCCCAGGCCTTGGATTCGGCTTCGCACACTTTTTGGGTGTTCAGGTTGTGACGTGAGTCACTCTTGAGGTTGTGTGTTCGTGTTTGTGCTGGGGCTCTGTGATCTTTCGGCTCCAAACAGAGGCAACTCACGACCAGCACGGGACCAACATTTTGCCTTTTTTTCGCCGAGGTTGCTGGACTTTGTCTTCGGCACCTTCTCCCGCTGCGGCTTTTGGCCGTGCCCAGGGCTCCAGGTATCACATGCTGAGCAATTGTGTGTCCAGAAAAAAGGACACGTGATCCGCATACAGATCACCAGCATCAGGTTGAGTTCCTTATGGACATACACGGATGGCCATTCTCCGCGCCCATTCTGGGTCCATTGGGGTTGGCTGTGGGTCAAAACCCTGGTACCCCCCTACCCCCGAGATTCCCTTCCAAATTGAACCAAACAAAAGGGGGGGTTACCCAAAAACTGGTACTTGGGTTTTGATCCATGGCCATATTTTTTTCGGCCGGGGATGCTGAGGCCGCTCTGTGGGGCAGCGCCTGGCGGTCTCCCAGGGCTGCCTGCAGGTGGCCATGGCACTACTTCCGGTGGCGCGGCATGCAGCTGGAGAATTGCAAAATCCGGCACTCCCCAATTATTGCACACAGGGTTCCACTTTTTGACTACCCCCATAATCACTTAAACCCAGGGGTGGGTCACGTACCCCAAAAACGGAACCCCCTGGGTTTAAGTCTATATGCAGGTAGTCAAAAAATAGAACCCTGATTGCAATAATTATTGCAATTGTGGGAATTCAGCTCTCATTATTCAATAATTGGACTTCAAAAACAATTGATTCAAAGCTAGAACCAGCCAGAACGACACATAGGGTATGATCTTCCCTCTTACGAGGGGAGGAGTGGGGAGGGGCACTTAGCAGCGCATGCAAACAGATGACGGAAAGCGCTTCTTTGAAGCGGTTGAGAGTTGGGCCACGGGGGGGGGGGGAGCGGGGGGCCTGATTTGCAGAATTTTGAGTCCAAACAAGTAAAATTTGGGTGTCTTTTCCATCTGTCCGGGAATTGCTCGCTCGCTGCATTTTTGCGCAAACACCTGCGTGTTACCATGCTTTTGCGAGGTGCTTTCTGCGTTGGGCTGGCTCGTTTTGCGTGCCTTTTTCGTTGTCTTTTCTGGGTCACTCGCGCTTGGACCTGCCTCGGGGATGCTGGGGATGCTGGGGGTGGCGGCTCAGCAAGTACGCGGGATGCTGGGGATGGCGGGGATGGCGGGGATGGCGGGGATGGAGGGGATGCTGGGGATGCTGGGGATGCTGGTGCTTGGGCTTCGTTTTGCGTCCCCTTTTTTCGTGTCAGCAACTATTGTTCTTTCGGCGTTTTGGCTTCAAAAAAGATGCTTAAAATTTAGGTGTCTTTTTTGGATGGTTTTAGCGCTCGGCGTTCACTGGCTATCGCTTTGGCTCGGACAGCCGAGGCTTTGGAGTGTTTCAATTGGCCTGAAGTGGCCAGCCGCCCAGCTTGCAACATGGGCATTTTCCTCGGACCTACAGCATCGGGCAGGTGACATGTGAGGAGCAAGAATAATATTGGGTATGGGTCAATCGTAAACCACCCAAAGACGGCAGGTTTTAGTTTTTGTTTCCATTTGCCAGGGTTCTTTCCATTTTGGGGTGCTCCCGCGCACGCGGCTCACGGCTGGGGGAAAAGCCCCTCGAGAGGTGCGGCACAGCTCGCAGGACACCAGTGCAGAGCTGAGGGGTCGCCTGCTCATGCATATTCTTTACGAGCGCAGGATGAGGCGCCAAGCAAAATGTTAGACATTTTTGCCTTTGCAAAAGCAAAGTGGTGAAGGATTTGATTTACTCACTCCGGCCACGGGATGTTGCTCGAGATGTGTCCGCCACTGATTGCTGTTTTGGGGTTTGCCCGCCGAGAGGTCCAAGCTAATTTTCCGGATTCGGCACGAGTTTCCACACAGGGATGTGGGCCAAAGAGTGTGGGTATTTGCGGGGGTTTGATTTCTGAAACCATTTGAGGCCTAGCGCGGACCCTGCAGACGCTGCGGGAGCTGCAGATCTCGGTGCTGCGCTGTTGGGGGGAGGCGCAGAGGGGAAGAGTTGTTTGCGACATCCCTCGGTTTGGTCGGATCCCCGCCAATTGGTTTCCCGGTCCCGTGAATTGGTGGCTTAATTGGTTCGGTGAAGTGGTTTTTAGGATGTCTCATCTGCAAGAACCAGGAGATCAATTCTCCAAACCACCAATCCAAACATCTCAGGGTGACTTCTTACTTCTGCTGCTGGGTGGTTGGCCGGCTGCAAGTTTGACTGGGTTGCTTTCCAGCTAAAGAGGATACGAGCAGATCAACACCTTGGCAACCCAATCGCCATTGTGAATTCTAGTGATAAAAACTAGATTCCGCTGTCTGCTGTGCAAGAGTATGAGGAGCTGACACAACCTGCTAAAGAAAACGGCTTGTGCGCGTCAAAGTGATGCCCCAGAGAGGTATGCGCCAAAAAATCAGAGAAACCGCTTCAAACCAAAAAGGGTGCACAAAAAAGAACCCACGCACCCACAGACCCCACCCACACACACACACACCCACATCCACACACTCATACACCCACACACATGCACATGCACATGCACAGGCACACCCACGCTCACGCGCACGCGCGCACGAGGGCGCGCACGCACACGCTCTCTCACGCTCTATCACCACACCACGCCCAGCACACGCATGCAGGCACGCGCACCGCGCACACTCACGCACGCATACCCAGGCACGCACGCACGCACGCACGCACGCACGCACGCACGCACGCACGCACGCACAGAGACAGAGCTGTACAGATACTGTATTGGCGCTCTTGCATTCAGCGTTGATATCAAGTGGCAGGAAGAGGCACTTGCTTTGTCCGCTGCAGGTCTCCTTCGTTCAGACCTTGCTGCAGCCGATCTCTTGGTCCAGAGAGGAGACTTTCGGTCCGTCTTCGGAAGCATTCACGCGCAGAAGTGAAACGCATTCCTGTTTCATTCTCATGCAAAAGATGCGACCCCGCTAAACCTGGTGCCCTGCTTTCCCCCGCGTTGAAGTTTTCACTTCCTCAATCTCCAAAAGTCTGCAGCTTGCTTGAACCGAGGTCCATCCAGTGCGAAATTGCCTATGGACCTGCCAGGCTCCCATGTGCCCTGCTAGACTCATCGCGCAGCGCGCTGTTGAAGCCCAGGCTGGCAAAGATGAGGGCCGCCGCTTTGTTGGCTTCCGCAGCCCGGCGCTGGAGGTTGAGGTGCGTAAGTCAAGCATGGAATTTCCTTCGAATTGCTCGAACCTGTTCCAATCTGCTCCCGAATCTGTTCGAATTGTTCAAATCTGTTCGATTTGTTCGATTTGGTGCAAATCTGTCCGATTCTGTTCGAATCTGTGCAAATTGTTCGACTCTGTTCGAATCTGTGCGAATTGATCGAATTTGTTCGAATGTGTTCGTATGAAATGTGAGCGAAGGTTACAGGAGTGCGACCAAGGCCATCCCTGGGATAAACTCTCAAAACTGGTTGGCATTCCTAATTCCTGCGCTAAGTCCACAAAGTTTTTCAGAAGTTCATACATCGAAGAGACAGGTGCAGAGTGCGCCAGACGTGCTGGGGCCGTTGGCTGAGAAATCCTTGTGGGTGCGCAAACACCGCAGGATTGCAGCCTTTCATGGCTGTTTCGGGGCTCCGGGCTGTTGAGTAGTCCTCACTCGCTGTCCTTCTAAGGACTGGCGGTGTAGTGCCAACGACAGGTGCTCAGTCCCTGCCTCGGCACTGAGACATCTTGTTGCCTGCCTTGCTCGGCGATGAGCTACGAACAATCCCAAAGCGAGAAAACTTGGGCAAGCGCACAAGTGAAGTATCTCACTCACACCAAGTGATCAGAATACTCAGGCAGTCACGCTTTGAGCCACTTTTTTTGTAGGAAAAGCATGCATCTTAATGTGGTGCAATTTTGAGTATTTTGAGTTGACCGCATTGTCTTGTCGATTGAATCATGCGTCAAATCTGTCTATGCGTCAAATCTGTTTGTTTTTCATCGTTACGCAAGGGAGTACGCTTTCCGTTTCCATCTCAGGCCGGCTGTTGCAAGGCTCATGAGTTCGAATGATGCAAAAAACGGAAGGCGCCTTGGACATAAGGCGTCAAAGGCGCCAAAGGCCGCTTTCCAGCTGGCTGTGGGTCAAAATGGGTATCCATCTTAAAAATCCGAGTAAATGGAACCAAACACTAAAACCTGCGGTTTTATATCCTGGTGCTTTTTGGTTTTGACCCAAAGCCAGCTCTCCCGAGGCTTCTTTCAACGGCCCTGCAGTGCTTTCACGGCCTAGTTCGCCTCTTCTTGGGGCCGGCGGGCTTTGCGCCAGAAGCCCAGCGCGAGGAGCAGTCATGGCTGGGGGGGTGGGAGGGGAGGGGGAGGGAGCCCAAATGGGTGTGGCTCAAAATTAAAGACCTAGCGTTACGCATGTTTTAGTGTTCATTTCCATTTAGAAAGGTGCCACTGTTGTACGTTTTTTTGAGCCACAGCCAAATAAGCCCCAAAATCAGGCCTTATGAAGGGCTTAATAAGGGGCTCATTTGGGCTCCCCTCCCTCCCACCACCCCCCAGCCCCCATGAAGCAACGAGCGGCTTCCGACGCACTCGACGGAATGTAGGAACCCAAGAGAACAGAGGTCCTCCACGGGGGGGGGGAAACGGGGCACCCGGTGATTGTGGCAGAGGTCTGGGACAACACCTAGTGTGGGTGCATAGACTTCAAAGTTGAAGTCTATGCGACGTGCTTGCGGGAGCTAGTGTTGGCAGCAGCAGAATCTTTGGAGATTGAAGAGAGGCCACCCGTTGACCATGCCGATCAACCAGGGCCAGGTTCGCATATTTCCATGTGTTGACTCTACCTTTTGCCTGCCATTTTTGATAGAGGTTCCTTTTTGGTGGAGGGAAGCGACGTGCAAAGGGGACCTTTAGGGAACCCTTTGACAGTCCAGACGCTTGGACAGCGATGCCTTGATCAGCACAAAAGGTTCCAGCGCCCGAGGCCGCACTATCAGCCCTTGTTGCAGCACCTTTTGGCCCTCACCACCACCAGGGAGTCAGGGGCCTGGTTATTCTCGGCCTGACACATCGATTCGGATAGGTTCGATTCGGATCGGGATTGGGATGTAAGAGTAAGCTGTTTACAAAGGCAGAACAGTTGAACACAGCGCAGAAGAAGTCGCAGTGGACCCTTTTTTGGACCCCCTCTAAAAGCCCGCAATGGATTACATGTTTGCAGATGACTTGTTGCACCTTGGCAGTACCATGTTTTGTTTGTGCCCAGAACTAAGTCCAGAGTCTTGTTCGGAACGACTGTTCGCAATCGTATAGATCACAATGAAGCCTTTGTCGTAGTTGCACAAAGTTGCCATTAGGCGGCTTGCAGATATTCGCCAATGTGTTTGCAATCGACAGCTTCACCACAAGAGAAAGGGTTACATTCGCAGATTGCCTGCAGTTGTGTGTGGCTTGCCGCCTTGCTTCTCCCGTTGGCGACAATTTGTCCAAGGGCCCACAAGGCGAGAAGCGTCGAGGGGGACGTATGGCGCCAAGCGCTCCACTCAAAGGGATGCTTGTTGCGGGTGGTGTGAGGCAGTCTTGCATCTTGGCTTCAGATTCCGCGTGGGGAGCGCAGTGTAGCAAAAAAGGATGTAGGATCAAAATGACAGTTTCTTCTTGCAAACCCATCGGTTGGCAGCCAGCCAGCCTGCAAGCACAGCCAACCAGCTTCAAGCACAGCCAGCCATTAAGGCAGCCTGCCAGCAATCTGTCATGCGACTGCAACACACTGTAGATTCTTTGCCAGTCAGCCACTTGCTTCCTCAGCCCAAGCACTCAGCTCTACGCTGCCAGAATTGAAGGGTGCCGCCTTCAAGCATTTTCTGCCCATGTTGATATCCTGCTGTTTTGAGCCTTTCCAAGGTTGATCTTGCACGATGTGACACCATTTGTGCAAGCAATGAATCTTTACCGAGAGACCAAGGGCATTGAAAGCCGGCATCCTTCTTGTAGTCCAGATTTCATGCATGGCACCTTCGACCTCGGGCGACGATGCAGGCCAGCTGCACAGTAAAAGAGTCATCGAGCTCCTCCTATTTGCCTTTTGCGAGGTTTGGTCACAATTACCAGGTAGTCTATGGGCCAAAACATGGGGAGTTCCCAAATCCCCCATGGCATCTGGAGGAATGAGTCATTTGGACTGGCTCATGTAATGGCATCTTCTCACCCGCGAGAGTCTTGTCAAATGACCAATCCCTGGCAGACAGCCCACGTGTGGAGCACGAGCAGCATCTTGTCTTCATCGGCATCATACATATTGATCCTTCCCAGGTCGACATGGCATTGCGAAACCCATATCAGGCAACCCATTTTCGAGGCGGTTTGGATATTTCCATGGCCCATTGTCGTGGGTGTGTCAAACGGCGAAGATTTGCTTTTGCAGGACTTGCACGGCTGGCTGGAGCATAGTCTGTGTCTTATGCGTATCATCGCTGCCTGAGGACCCTTCTCATCGAGGCTGACAAGTGTGAGGATGACTTGCAGATCGGCGCAGACCGAGGCTACACCACAGAGAAGATGATTGGAAGAGGCCTGAAGAAAAAACTGGACTGCCCACGAAGAATTGTCTCAATTCCTGCTCTTCAGTTCGATCTGGGATATGTCATTTGCGAGGGTGAGTCCACCCTCTGCGCTGAGTTGTCGCTGTCAGGATGCTTTGGCATCGCCCTTCTGGTGCGCAACAGGGAGGGCCAGTTGCGAGTCATGAAGGCGGGCCAGGAATTTCATGAGACAGAAAGGTGATAGAAGCTGATTGCGGCACAGCTCTAACCTTTGAGACACCAAGTCATGCGTAGCTTACCCGCGCCCTTGCGGTGCCTGTTGCTATGTACCCGCAAGGGGCCACAAGAGTCCTCGACCCTTGCCATGAGGCCATTGAGCAAGGGCGCAGCAACGAACCAGCGATGATGCGGAATTTAAGGCGTGGAGACCTAGCTGTGCCAGCCACATGGCAGGATGCATCGGCCCCTGAGGCGTTTGTCTTTGAATAAATTGGGCTTTGCACTAGTTGCCCAGCTGTTGTTGGAACTGGGCTTGCTAGCCGGGTGACTGGGTATTCTTGGCTTGAGTCCTATGGAGATTGGCTCCAACCCTTTGTCTCCGTCACTTTGCCTGCGTTCCTTGCCAGGCATCCCTACATCGTGCGCTTCCGTGAAAGCTTTGTAGACAAGGCTGATTCTGTGCATTGCCCGACTTTGGAGTCTCAAAAGCCCTGAGATGAGTCTTCGGAATACCAGAGCGGTTCAGAGCTTGCTTTATATTCTGTGAGGAATGTCAGGAATTCGAAGCAGGAACGTGGCTTCCGATGGATACCATTTGCTCTTCCTCTCTTTCCGTCTCTTCCTGTCTCACCTCTTTGTCTGGCAACGTCGGTGGCCCCTTGCCAGGGCTCCCTGGCGATCGTCATGGACTTCGCGGGGGCGGGGGACTTGCTGCACCGCGTGGACGCGGCCAAGAGGGCGACCAAGGGCCCCCTGCCCTTGCCGGAGGAGTCTGCGGTTCTCGACACGTGGACGTGAGCTCGCGCAAATGGGTATGGTCAAAATTAAACCACCAGGGGACCACAGGTTTTAGTCCATGTTTCCATTGACCAGGGTGCCATTTTGGGTACTGTAACTATTTTTGACCCGCCGCCAAATGAGCTGCGCTCAAACACGGTGAGCTCGCGATGATGCCAGAGAAGAGGGTTCTCAGAGAAGGTAGGTGGAATTCTAGACAGTCACCTCGAGCTCTGGGCTTTGATCAGGGGCACACCCGTTGGGGGACTCCCACGTCAGGAGAAAGTGGTGCAGTGGTTTGCTCAGGCTGGGAGCTTGCGTTTGGATCTTCGAACTAGAAGGTTGTGCCCAAAGTAGGTGGGAGGTCCAAAACGATATGCTCTGATTGTTGCGCACAAGCAAACACATATGCTGACAGACCACTTTTGGACAATCACACCATTCGCCTGGCAAATGTTACGTCTCGGAGGCGCTTCTGGGCCTGAATTATTTGCATGGCCTTTGCATCATCCACCGCGACATCAAGAGTGAGCCGTCCAGCTGCAGCAGACTCCACATAAAATCTAGGAGGGCTATGGACTGCCAGTTTTATGTAAGTAATGACATTCCAAAAGCAGTGCTTGTTAAACATGTTTTGAAGGGCTCATCCCTTGCCACTTGCTGATTCCATGATGCCATGCCCTTTCGTTGCATGGCAGTGCAACACAGACCGTCCGGTAAGGAATCTCTTCCTGGAGTCGGAAGACCATCTCCGCATTGGGGACTTTGGCTTGGCCAAGTTGATGAAGAAGCCCACGGAGATCTTCATCGAGCAGCAGATTGTGGGCACGCCCTTTGGTTGACAGACGCGTCAGTCTGTTCGGTAATTGTTCTGCTGGAGTGGTGGTGGTGGTGGTGGTGGTGGTGGTGGTGGTGGTGGTGGTGGTGGTGATGGTGGTGGTGGTGGTGGTGGTGGTTGCTGCCCCCTGCGGCCAGCACCGCCCACAATCGACGCTCGCGCTGTCCTGCTTGGGAGGCATGTCAAGTGCTGGCGTGTTGCTAAGGCCGTTGTACTTGAGCCCGGAGATTTGCGCGAAGGGCATGCAGCTCGGTTCGGGATATGCTGCCGGTTTTTGGCTCCCAAAGCCCTGCAGAAGAGTGTGCATTCGGCCGGTGGTGCTGGAAGCCAGGAGCTTCTGTTTCCGCTCACTTCACTTTAAATAGTAAGCTGGGTCTGACGGATGAGACAGTGATGCTGTGGGAAAGTCAACTCAACCAGACACAAGGCCTGAAAAAGATGCATGGCAGATGGCTTGGCCAGTCTTTTGAGCCCAGGTACTCAGCAGCTGGGGACGTGTGGGCATTGGGCTGTGTGCTCTTCGAGCTCTTGTCCCTGAGTCTGCCCTTCGAGGCGTTGGGCTGCGCGTGATACGGTGAAAGGTCCGTGAGCACGTGAGTCCGTGACTAAGTTTACCCACCACTCACAGCATTGGTTTCCGGAAATTTAAGTCACAACATGGCCGCTAGGATAGGGTAGGTTGGTTGTTCACAACTCGTGGTGTTTTGCTTTCACTGCGTTCCATTTGCTGCTTGACTTGTAAATCAGCCTGCCTTGACTAGACATGGCACCGCTTGGTCCCATCTGCAGGGCATCATGTGAAGTGCAAGTGAGACCCCCCAGTAAATCAGCTGCACCCACAGTGGCCCCGCGTGAGTGAGTGAGTGAGTGAGTGAGTGAGTGAGTGAGTGAGTGAGTGAGTGAGCGAGTGCAAGTGAGAAAAGCGGCCATGCCCCGAGTGCAAGAGGCAAGTTGCGCTAGGCGCAAAGAGAGCCCTGAGAGGCGCGAAATTTGCCCAGCCTCCTGGTGAAGATCACGGCCGTGTCTTCGGCGCCGCGGCCGTCTTGCGAGCATTCGCAGGCCTTGGCTGGGGGCTGATGGAGACATCAAAATCCCAACCACGACTTTGTGTTTTTTGAGCGCTTTGCGCCGGATATGTAGATGAGTCACAATTCAAATATCCGGGTAGATGAAGGTAAGTGAGGGAAAGAAACCAGCCATCAATGGTTGCGGATATCCGCCTTTACAATTCCCTACCTGAACCATGGGTTCATAATTTTTGTACCAGGTTTTGATTCTGACTCACACGATCCAGCATCGAGCGATCGGCCAGGAGTTGGTGGACACCTGCGTTTGGCTCCTGACCAAGAGCCGCACTGGCAGACCTACCACCGCTGAGGCGCGTTGCCGTGTCTGGTAGTTGCTCCTCTGGGGATCCGAATGACTGAGTCGCTATTGAAACGGAGGAGCCGCGGTTTGCAAAGGAGACACATCGTAGAAACAAATCTTACGCCTTCGTGGACTGCGCGAGACTTGAGCACAGGCATTCTTTGGTAGCTGTGCAGGCGTGTGGATTCAGCTTCATTGGCACCCAGTCTCTGTCTCTGTCTCTTTCTCACTCTGTGTCTGTTTCACTTTCCCTTTTCTTATTCTTGTCTTGTTCACTTTCCCTCGCTTTCCCTC